CTTGTACTTGGAGTCCTACAGCATGTACTTGAGAGCATCACTGGTACTTGGAAAGCAGTTTTCCTCCTGGTGGACCCAAGAGTGATGTTGCAGATGACCATCTAAAGCATCCCACTAGCAATGTGAACAGCCCAGAACTACTTCTCCTCTACACACCCACGGTGCATCCCTAAGACCTGCAGCTGCTGGAAACCTTGCTGCTGGTAAAGGTGTAATGCCGACCCACAGTCCTAGAACCATAAGGGATCATTCCCAGTCAAACCCTGGTCTTTCTCTCTTTGCATCAGAAATACACTCTATGTGTTTATACAGTGCTTGCAGCATTTTTATATAATTCTGCATCATTTTGCAAAGCTGTAAAGTCCTCCAGCACTGCAGAAAATCTCTGGAGAAATGGAAAAAGAGCAGGAATGGGAGGTAGAAAAATAGAAAAATTACTAGTGGTAGCCTGTGGACTTCATGAACCTATTACAGAAATCCCAAATGCAAAATGCAATATAGAGCTGAATTCCAGAACCCATTACTCACGCTGCTTTTGCAACATGAGTAAGTCATGCACGGAATAAGATACTGTCTTGCATGAGACATCCAGTATGACCTGGACCACACTGCATGTGGGACTTTCTGTCCCAAAAGCAAAGAAGGAAAGGCTGAAAAAGAAAGTAGAAAAGATGACAGTGTGAAAGTTCTAGGTCAACATATTATCAGAAAGACAGAGTTGCTGTTACATATATATATACAACCTGAACTCTGATTTCAGAGTACATACACATGCCATATTCTTGTCAGGCATTTGCCTAGGGGGTAGATGATTTTGCTGGACATTAAGTACCTTATGTGGGGGAGAAGGGGGGTCAGACATTTTTCATCATCTTTAAACTTACTGGAATTTTTTTCCAACTTTGTTCTAGCTCCAGCTTAGTCTTGTCTAAGATTGTCTCTAAATGTACCCTACCCAATGTGTGGGCTACACAGACTTCACAAATAGGAAAGAAACAAATGAGAAAATTGCTTTTTCATTCTCTCCTTACTTCTTCAGTCCTTCACTGTTGCACATAGATTGCAAGCTGCATTCCCACTGTGAAATGCAGGGCACATTAAGTAAGGGGTTGTTCAACCAAACCACTATCTCTGAACACTGCTTTCTGCACGGTCAGTGGTCCAGCCTCTTCCTGTCCCATCCCCTCACCAGTCACCTCATTGCAAGACTCACATTTCCCATCTTCCTTCTCCGCTCTCCAAACACCCTCTGCCTTTCCCTTTCCCTCTTTCACTTGCTTCTTTTGCTCCTACATAGACAAGGACACACTTCTGCACTATCATACTTAATCTCTCAATAATAAAGCTGACAAAATTAAAAAGCTAAGTAACCATGACTAATGAAAATGAAGGAGGTAGGACTTCAAGAACAATGCACCGAGGAAGCAAAAATGTCCATAATGGACTAATGTCATCTCTCTGCAGTAGCCAGAAGTAAACACTTATGAAAAGAAAGCGAAAACACATTGTTTGGAGCAATCCCTGACCTGCTAAGGTCTTAAAATTTCCATCAATTAGTGGCTTGGAGATTTCCTGTATGGCAGCCAGCATCCACAATTCCATACTCTGTATCCATACATTAATTTCCTTAATGAATTTTTCAGTGCCCTCTCATTTTTGTATTTGTGAGAAACAGTGATTAATTGTTGTTTGAATCTTTCTACAGAACTAATATATGGTGCTTCTGCTAGCATACTGTATGACTGCTGAGATGCTACATCCAGTCCCTACAGCCATAAAGTTTTGTTTCACATCCAATCAGTAATCAAAAGCTGCTATTATCTTCCACAATAAAAACAAAACAACTATCATTATATCACATCTGTTTTCTAGCATCAAGCAAGTGTTTAAGGGCAGCTCTGGAACCATCTACATTTCTCAAAATACCTTTTCCAATTTGTCACTCAGCTGTGCCAGTGCTCATATAGTGCAAATTAACTTGTATGTTTTTGGATGTAAGCCTGACAGCAAATGCCAAACACTGATTTTCCACAGCCCAGAGTACACACATTCACAAATGGTTGCTTTGTTGCTCCTATGATAATGCTTTGTTAAATGGCGAGTCTAAAAAGAGTGTTAGTGTTGCCTTAAGATCAGATGAACAAGGTTGTCACTGTAGTAGTTTTAGCCCACTTTTCAAGAGTTACCGGACAACATGTGATATATTTATAAGCAGAACACAGCCCACATATAACTCAGGAAACATGATTTTCAAGAAATTTCAACAAATTTGAATAAAACCCCTTAGGGTCCTTTCAGGTTTTGTTGACAATTTTTCAAGAATTTGTGTAGTTTCTGCAGCTGCATATCATAGGATTTCCAGAATGGGTTGACTCAGACACACCCAAGTACTCTTGTAGGGTTCTGTTATTTACAAGGCGCTCTGTTAAAATGGACAGTTACAATTTGGCTATATTCATTACTTTGTTTTAATTGTCTTCACATACTTTCATATATCTTGGTCTTGATACTGCTAGGCTTCCTAGCAACATGAAGAAACTTAAGACTTGATCATTCGAAGAATTCATGACCCCAACCCAGAGTCCCATTGATCTCAGTGAATTTTGCATTAGGTCAAACATACAGAACACCATCAAGAGCAACAACAAAATCTAAACCTGAACTAGAGGGATAATATGGTCTGTCTCTATCCTTGTAATTTTCTGCAACAAGTGAGTGAAATTCTGACCTCACTAACATCACTGACTAACATTCTACAGAAGATTTCACCAATAAGGTTTCACTAATGCATACACCTTACAAGTTAATTCACCTATGCTGTTATTTCCAATTTAAGAGCGAGCTGCCTAGAAAATTGTCAGAATGTTAATTCCTTAAAAATAATTATCAAAAGAAAGATGCGAGGGCTGCAGAATACTGAATATGTAAACTTAAAAGCTTGAGAGGTCAATTCTGATTTTACATATATCTGATGCAATTTTCTTAATGGTTGCAGCATAATTCTAAATTACTAACAGGGCAATTGTCTTTTTCATTTATTTTCTTTCCTTATTTTTCCTTTAAGTTTGCAGCTGCAAATCAATGCGAACTCATTCAACAATTACCCAGGAGAAAACTTCTATTTTGTAAAGTGAACATTGTGCTTTCAGGACCTCTGTGAAAACTTTTAACAATGTTCCACCCTTGGGCCTTTCCATCCTCCAATCCCGAGCTTGAAAGCTTGCATTCTCACTAGCCATCCCTTTTTAAATATGCTTTTGTAAAACTGCATTGAAGTGAAAAATGTTCATGAAGAACACTGTTTTATTGAATAGCAAAGGTATCTCTCCTGCCTTGATCCTGGCATCTTATAGATTTTTTTTTTTTTCATTTTGGCCAAAAGTAGCAATAAAATAGACCATTGCCCAGTTTTCTATGTTACAGCCAACAAACTGATTATGTTACTACTAGATAACATCATCTCTTTGTAATTAGGCTGCTAGCTGAGGTCTTATTATAGTAGTGAATTCACACCACCACGGTTAGCAATGTCAGCATTTCTATTATAACAGTCTCTTCCTCCTACTACTCTCTTTTCTCAGCGGACTGAAATTTGGACTTAAAAATTAACTTAAGGTTGAAGCAGTGACAACGCAATCCCTGTCCCTAAGTCCACAGTTTATCATTTTAGCAAGTTTCTGACAAGCAGCTTTGGAGTATTTTTAAGTACAGGCCCAGTCATGCCTTCTTCCTACATGCAAAACGTGAGCGTGTATCCAGAGAACGCAGCACTCATTCCCATTATCTTTGTGGCTTGAGTTTCTTAATAAATGAGCTTTTAATCATCTCTTCATTTTAGGGAGCCACTGCTTTTAAAACCGTGCATCCAGCCAATAGGGTGGACTGGAAGATGTACATTGCCGCAGCTTCGTTTCAAAAATCCATTTCAGAACAAGGATTTCATGCACAAAGCCTGTTTCTCAAAAGCACTGCTGGTGCTGAACTGTGCCGAGTGAAGGACCTGAGAAGGCTCCACCTGGGACCTCAGAGCAGAAGCAGGCGACCCCCATTGCTCCCTCGACATGAAGACATTTGCCATCCCTTCCAGCTGGGACGTGCCCCGAGGACCCCACGCAAACCACATGCAGCTGAAGCCCTGCAGCTTGCTAGCTGAGCTGGGCGGACCACCAGTGGTGCGTCCCACCGGGGCTCCCTGACACCCTTTCCAGGTCTCGGGCCCCCCTCCTTGCCCTCCCCCAGCCGCCGCTCCGCTGGCTCCGGGCTGTGCTTGCCTTCGCCCGCAGACATGCAGGGACGATCCGCCGGGCCGAGCTGGGGGCCGTCGGACGGACGGGGGGGGGGGTGGACCCCGGCCCCCCCCCCCCGCCCAAAGCGGCCCGCGGGTTTCGCCCTTGGCGCCTGAGCGCAGCCCCTCCGGCCACACGCCCCAGGGCAGGGACACGAGGGGCGGCCCCCCACTCCCGGACCCCACGGTCACTTACGTTGGGGGCGGGTGCCGCCGGGAACGCTGCCGGCCGCGGGGCCGGACCCCGGCCCGCCTCCGACGGGGGTGCCGGCCCGGCAAAATGTGTTGGGGGGGGTGGGGGCGACCTCCCTTTCGGTGCCGGAAGGGTGAATATTTGCCCGGAAACCGGGCGTGTATTCCACTTTGGAGAAGCAGAGGGTGCCGGGGTTTGGGGGGCCGGGGGGGGGGAAGGGTTGGGGAAGGGGGACGAGGAGCAGCCGCGATGTGCCTGCTCCCCGTTTGACTGGCGGATCCGCTACCCGGCGGCTGCCGTGAGTCACCCCCGGCCGCGGCAGCGTCAGCCCCGCCGCGGCGCTGGCAGCCAGACGAGCCGCGGCGCGGAGCCGTCGCTGTCCTCGGATGAACCCGGCGGGGCTGCCAGCGCCAGCCGAGTGCGCGCAAGGCGAGAGCCGGGGCTCTGCCGGCGCGGCGGCGTGCGACACCCCTTCGGCGGGGATGGCGCAGGGGGGGCGGGGGGCGGGAGCGGGGGGGGGGTGGGGGGGGTGCGGGGAGGCGAGACCCTCGGCGGCCAGGCCAGGAAGGTAAGCGTGGGACAGGGAAGGTGCGGCGGTGGCACGGTCACAAAAAGGGCATGGGGCGGGGGACCGGGGCGGGGGGGAAAAGGGGGGGGGGGGGGGAAGGGGAGGCGGTGCCCCCCGGGACTCCGGGGCGCGGGGAGGGGTCGGCGCGGCCTGGCCCGGCGGCCCGAGGAGGCGGGAGCGGGGGGCGAGAGCCCTTCCGCGCCCTGGCAAGGGTGGGGAGAGCGCTCCCGACAGGATGCGAGGATGCTCCTCGGTGCGAATGGCAAACGTTCCCCGGCCCTGCCCTGTTATAACAATAAAACGACAGCATCCTCTGCCCCGCGGTGCAAAGATCCGGCTCCTCTGGGGCGAAAGGTGCCTCGTCGCCCAGCAGCCTTATCTCCCCGCTCCTGGCCGCGGGGGGCGGCAGGAAGCCGGGGCAGCTGCTGGCAGCCTCCGGCGTTGTCTCGAAAGCCGCGGACAAGGTCACGGCCACCTCCGCTCCCCGCGGCGCCCAGCGCCGCTGCCGCGCTCCCAACGGCGTGTCCCCTATGCGGCGTCACCGCCGGGGGGGGGGGGGGGGGGGGGGCGCTCATCGGCAGTGTCTTCCTTTGCTCCCACCTGTCACCTTTAGGTTTTCTTTATTTCTTTGCTGCCCGCCCTTCCCATCCCCGACAGCTGGGAGCGGGCGAGTCCCCGAGGACGGGGCAGGCCGCCCACGCGGGAGGATGGCAATTTGGAACCCCGGGAAGATGCCTCCTGCCCTCTGCCCCTCTCCTGGGTGGCCCCGGCCCCCCGCTTCTTCCGGGGCTTTCGGCGAGCTCTGGCTACCGGGGCTGCCGTACGCTGGGGGCTGCGCTGCGCTCCCACTCCGCGCCCTGCGGAGCGGGAGCGGCGGGGAGAGGGCGCCGCGTCCCCCCACCCTCCGAGGAGCCGCGCTGGGAGGCGGGATGCCGCCAGGAAAGCGCTCGGCATCAGGGAGAGGCGACCCGGGAAAGGGCTTTTAAGGAAATTCTCCCTGGGGGAGGCGAGGGAAGCGGGAAGGACGGAGCCCTTCTTTGCCCCGGGTGGGAGAGCCCCCACCCGCACACGCAGAGCAGGTCGTCGCGGCGCAGCAGGTGCCTCCGGGCCCCTTCGCTTCTTCCCCTCTCTGGCCCCGAGAACAGCGCCCGGGAGAGCCCAGGGACATCACCTTAATCGCCGTAATAATTAAAAACAACAACAACAAAAAACCCCTTCTGCCTGGCCTTAATGATCCTTTACACACATTCGCCGCCCGCTCCCTCCCCCGTCCCCCAGTGAAGGGCACTGATTATTCGCACTCCTCTGCTTGCCGAGAGCGCAGCCTGATGAAAGGACTTTATCCTCGAGTGACTCCATCTCTTGCTCCTCCTCCTCTCCCCAGCCCGCCGGCCGCCTCGCTTCGCTCTCAGCCCTAATTGGGCTCTTGCTAATATGATTAAAGCCCAGTTAAATGTTTCTTGATAAATCTTGTCAAGAGAGGATCCCCCCCCCCCCCGTCCCCGTCCCCTCCCCTCTCTCTGTTGGTTGTCAGAAGCCCGGTTACAGACAAGACATTCCCGGCTCCTGCTGTTCGTACTCTGGTGGGAAGTTGGCATTTCACAATTGTTCCTTTAACAGGGTTGTTTTGGAGCCGCTCCTGGGGATTGTTCCTCTTCAGGCCGGGCTTGCTGATAAGAACCGCCCGTGGCTTTTATGTAACACGTTAGGATTTGGTCCTGGTCCCAAAATCGCGCTGTTTCTTTAGCCTTTTATTTCATTCCCCCCGCACCCCACCCCCCCCCCCCCCCCTCCCGCTCCTGAGCTCTTAGTAGCCTGTTCCCGGAACGGCTCTTGCTCGGTGCGAGCCGGCCAGACGCGATCGCCCGTGTAAAAGCCGCGCAGGTCCCGGCGGAGCTGCGCGGGGGGTGGGGGGGGGTGGAAGGTGCGCAGAGCCGGCGGCGGGCAGCGCTGCGGAGCGGTGTCCCGGCCACTGCCGCCCCCCTCCCTGGGAAAAGCCCCGCTCCCTCGGCTCCTCTCTCCGCTCCCGGAGCCCCCGGGAGAGGCTCTCCCGTTGCTGCCCGCCGTTGTGCGAGGCGCCCCGGCCTCCCGCGAGTTTGGGGGCAGCGCTCATTGCAGCGAGCGCCTTCTCCCCCCGTAACCTGCATCTGTTTTCCCGTGGTTTCACTGCAGTTGGGCTCGGGGGTTAAACCCTATCCCGCCCCCCGTTATCACTTGGGGAATCTGGTTGAATTCGTAGAAATTAGTAAGCGGCAGACCGTGGTGGAGGGCGAGGGTGGTTCCCCGGGAGCCGGGCCCCCCACAGCCGGCCGCGGGCGGGGGGGCGCGGCTCAGCTCGCCCCGCCGTGTCGGGGGTGCTCGTTGGTGGGGCTGTCTAGTCGCTCGCTTTTTGGTTTTCAGTTTTCTTTGGGGGTGCCGAGCTTCGGCCGGGGCTTTTCGAGGGCGTTTGGTGGTTGTTGCTTCAGCCTTACCGGGCTTGGGGGCTAGGGCAGAGGGTAGTTGTTCGGAGGGAGGGGGGTGCTGTCTGCTCCGCCGTCGAGCCGAGTGTAGCCACGGACTGGGAGCTCTTCGGTCCGGGGCCGGAGGTGGCATTTCCCGATGGCCCACCGGGCCCCAGGATCCAGCCCGTGCCCCGCGCGGGGGCAGAGAGCTACTGCCGCACCGCGTTTCCACGGGGGACACGCACTGCCTCCACCCGTGGCAAGAGGGGCCACAGGCGGCCGAAGGACACGGACCGACTGCCTCTGTCCGCCACCCCGGGAAAGGTCGAGTGCCCCTCAATCCTTCCGGCCCTCCACCGTTTCAACCCCTTAGGCTGAGCCTCTTCGCGCCCGGGGGTCTCCCGTGGGCAGCACGCTGCCCGCCCGCCCTGGGGGCCGCCGGTGCGGGGACGGGACGGCCTGCGGGCCACGGCGGAGGAAGGAGGTCATAAACCAAACAAACGAAAAATCACCCCCAGCCCTGAGGAGCGCAGCTCCAGCAAAGGCGCCTGTTCCCTGGGCAGGTGGAAACCCGAGCCAAGGGGCAAAACGGCGACCTGGCCCCCCCCCCCGCCGAGCCCCGCTGCAGTCCGGCCGCCCCGCGCTGCCTCCCGCACCGGGAGCCCCGGGGGGCGCGGGGCTGAGCCCCCCCCGGGCCGGGCAGGGAGGGTGCGGAGCCCACCGGGGCGGGGGGGGGGGGGGGGGGCGCGGATTTTAGCCCCCTCCCCGGGGCGGGCAGGGACCTGGGTCCCCAGGGGGGAGTTTCTCCGCGCTGGTTCGCCCCAGTGGAGCGTCGGCCTCCCCTCGGGCGAGGTCCCAACCGTGGTGTTTGAGGATGGTTTCCCCCCCCTTTCCTCCCTCCCTCCCCTGTGTGTTCCCCTCCGGGGGGGGTCTGGGTTTCTGCGAGACCACAAGAGCTGCGGCTCCTTCGCCCCGGGGCTGTTGATTTACCTGAGAGGAGTCCTAAATAAGAAGCTGTTTGTGCTCTAGCTGGAACGCTGAAGGCTTTCTAAGAATGGCGCTTTTCTTACTCGTTGTTTGTTTGGGGTTTGTTTTTTTTTTTTATTTTATTTTATTTTTATTGGTTCATCGAACCAGCCTACAGCATTGCTGGCATCTTTCCACCAGGTGTCTGGGGCTCAGAGGAAAATTCAAATGAATCTTAAAATTATGAGTTTCCCTCCCCTCCTCCCAAATAAAATAAGAGAAAGAATTGGTACAAACTGGCCAGGAAGGGATTCAAGCTGGAAACAGAAAAGCACCTTCACCCCACCAGAGTGGTGAGGACCTAGAAAGGCCTTCCGCAGGCAGGAGGGAATCAAAGCAGCTGGAAGATGGAATTTGACTGGTTTGTGAACCAGTTTCTGAGATGTGGTTACCACCCATAGCAAGGGACTTGACCCCGTGATCCAAAGCATCCCTTCTAATCCTCTTCCTATAAAATAATAATTTGCCTTTCTATACACCAAAAGAATCTCCAAGTATGTTGCACACGTTAAACTATTCTGCTCCAAGGCACTCTTGTAGGTGTGAGTCCATATTCCCGTTCTCCAGCAGAGTTAACTGGTTTGCTCCAGGGGTCACACCTGGAGCTGGGGACACTCGCTCGGTCCTGACACCCAGAGCTCAGCTCACCACCCAGCACCACCCTGCTCACTGAGGTCCCGAATGAGGCTGGTGCTGTTAGAAACTGTGAGAAGGCTACCTGCAAATACAAGGGGCTGATCTGCCAGATCCAGGAAATACCAATTCTGCATGTTGCTTAAAAGTTAAGTATACAGCATGAGGAAACATACCTGGAACTGGAGGTTTTAGGGTTTCAATCTCAGTGTTTGGGTATTATAATTATTTAACTAATCTCCATTTAGTCTTAATAGCCCCTGTTACTTTTAGAGGAATCTTGATGAACTTACTGCAAGATTTCCTGCTCACCTGACTTACAAAAGCAATTGTTTTCTTTCTGAATAAATGGAGAGGACTGGCTGATCTTCATGCTTTCGATCTAGACAGGAAAACCTAGGCTCAAATCTACTTGCTTTTCTTATGCAAATCTTCTCACAGGATTAGAAGGGAAAGTAAACAGCAGTCCAACCTTAAGATCTTTTTTTCTTTTTAGAGGCAGCCTGTTGTATAAATCTGAAACAGAAACTGTTTTCATTTGAAGATCAAATAGAAGTTATCTAGTGAAGCTGACAAACAGGGGCAGAATAATCTGTTTGCATTTTTGGGAAATGGATAGCTCTGGTTTTGTTTCAAGGCAAGTAACTTTTAAATAATATTTAACGAAATAATTGACCTTGATGTTTAAACTACAACTTCCTTCACGTCATTAAGCCCACTGTTTTTTTAAAAAAATGTTTAGTATCTGAACTCTGGTGTTCATTCTGCTAATCTCATAATAACATTTGTTTCTTGTGGAATTTTGTTTGATGAACTCGTCACTGAAAGAGGAGAGAAGGAGTTCAGAACAACATGAGCTTTACAGCTCATTTATAATTTTTTCTCCCTGAAAAACAGCAAAAAAAAAAAAAAAAAACAAACATATGCAGAATGTCTTTTCAGGAATAATTTTTCAGATGGAAGGAACAAGAAGAAGCTTTGTATAGCTGAGCCATAAGCCTTGGGACAAACTGTGTTCTTTTGACATATATTCTGATTTTTAAAACACACTGCAATCCTTGACTACAGAAAATGATTTTGTGCAACTTGTCTTCATGATAATTAGGGTCTGAGACTGCTTTTGAAATGTGAGAGAAATGTAACTAACTCCATAAAGTGTGTCTATCACATAAAGCTTTTAGGACAGCCTGATTCACACTATATCCTGCTCTTTGTTCAACTGACAGATTTCCAACTGCAGAAAGAGACACATATCTGGGGGCTGCTATTATCTAAGCTAAATATGTACATTTTGGATCAGTTCTATTTTATTTGAATACTCACAACTTCTGCTTGGGTATCTTAAGCATGAAAGGATTGCAGAGCTGTGCATTTTATTAGCTATCCATCAGTCTTTGTACAGGCACAAAGGTGCATAAACATACACATTTACTAGTCTCTGCTCTGCAAGAGTTCAGAAAATTACATGCAAAATTATTTAAAATAAAAACAAACAAGCAACCAAACAGCATACACATTACCATACAAGAAAGCAGGGAAACAAACAAGGTGGGGGGAAATAAAAGCAATAAACGAACATGCAGAGTTTAGCTTAATTTTTATTTGGATGTAAATGAAAAATATCGTGGCAGAAGTGGATTATTATTTTCTTTAAATTGTGTGATCCTTGAACTACAAAACACTGGTATCTTCCTAAACACTGTTGTGTACCCTGCACATCGTGTACTCATACACAGATGAAAGCTATTCCTTTATCCTTGTTGGCACATATTTTTCCTCTCCAATGAGTTCCTACTTTCAATATGTGGATGTATGAGGAATCAGTTTGCTTTACTCTCAACAAAGGACACGTAGCTAACATTTCCACTGATTAAAAATATTTGAATTCCCCCTCCCCAGCAAACAAACAGTCAGCTCAATAATAACTGCAGACCAGGGATCTAGAGAGCATGGTGGTGTTACACAACTGGAGATGTGACGTTATCTGGCAATCTGAGCAGGGGCACACTGATCATGGGACTATACAAATTCCCTGTCAGGCATCATGTTGATACAGGTTGTCTCAACTTCACACAGATGTCAAGCAGCATAGGCAACCATAGTGGTAGAGCCATCTTCTATCTCAGCATTATCCTCTGTTTCAGCCTCCCCTATGGCAGAATTGGCACCTCAGAGCATCCCCGAGCAGTCCCTCAAGCTCCCGGCCGACTCCTCAGCCCCACATACGAGGCACCAGCCTCCTGACTGGCTAACCAGCTCTGCCTGGCACAGGGGCAGCACCCGCATCAGGAGAGATGATGTGTGTTTGCAGGAGGTATAGCTACTGGGCAGTTTCTGTTACCCGCTCACTACAATCCCATGCTGTGGCTCAACACTAGCAAGTGAAGTGAGAAGGCACCCCCATCCCTGTGGGGCTATTGTGCGGTTCCACTGTGCACATAGGCTGCCTCTGTGCCTGACAAGCTGTGTTTTTACCACTTCATATATGTGTTTATGCAACTACTGCTCTTTAGTTTTACACAGAACCAGAACGTGGCACCTGGGGATGGCAGTTCTTAGCCTGAGATGCTACAGATGCTACAACAGAGTAGCAGTTGTCGTTCTCCTGCAGTTGCAGAAGCTGCTGGCCCTATTTTTTTTTTTTTTTTTTTTTATTGTGAGCTAGAGGGAAAACACAGTACAGTAACACTTGCTGATGAATTGACTGCTGTCCCTGCTATAAGTCACATCAGACCTATGACCCGTGTGTTTTGTGGTATGCAGCTGACACCCAGCTGATATCTCTTTTCCCGACTACCAAACACAGCCCGCAACATACTGGAGATGGTATTTCAGTCATACTGGGCAGACATGCTCATACCATCTTCTGTTATTCTGCTAGTGATTTGTGAGGAACCCACCTGGCGTATTTCCTCAGCCCAAGGTCTAAACTGCATCTCCTTGGCACGGATTTTAAGCATGAAGCTGTGCAAAACCAGGCTCCTCTGTGAGACTGAATATACTGCTCTTCCCCGTTCTCCTGAGGATGATTTATCTTGAGATTGTGCTGGACCTATGGAAATTTTCTCACCCCAATACTCATATCAACTCAGTTTAGGGAGCCAGCTACAGTGACTGTGTCCTAAATTTCATCAGTCTCCAGTTGTCTTGCTTTAGAATCTTCTGTCCTAAAAATCGGTTCTTACTGGGTATAGATATTCTTTGTATCCTCTGATGAACTGGTATGGAGCATTTCTGCATGCTGCAAAACATCCACTGAATATTCCCCCCTGTACATCTGTGCCAAATTCAATGGTTCTTGTGGAGATCATGTCAGTCAACTTGCAAAGCTCTTTGGGGTCGGTAGGTAACATGGTATGCAAATGCCTCTGTCTACTGCTGCTTCCCCGAGCTTAAACAATATTTGTCTGGATACACTTCCTTACCCTTTCCTCCAAACATACCTCTGGCTCTGTCAGAGAGCCCTGGGGAAGCTGATACCATGATGAAGGCACTCGCGGTGTGAATACGTATAGGATTAAGACTGCTAGCCACTGCGGCATGTCACTTCTGCCTGTGACTTACTAAGGCAGAAAAGTCTTGTGGCTGACATGTCCTCCACTCCACTGGGTTACATGACACAGGACAGAAAATGTGTCAACCCACTCCCCATCTCCTTGGCATTATTAGTCCAGGGAATGAAATGCAGCCAAAGAACACACACACAACTTTGACAGGTTCTGCCTAATCCACCCACATAATGACATTTCTTATGCTAAGTGCCAGAGCAGTGTAGGGAGGCCACTGCCTATACCAGCTGCTGGCAAGTCAAAGTTAGTTTCATGGTTATGTTTAAGAGATAGCCTGACGTTACATTAAGAAGTCTTTGTTTCCTGTGGTGCAGTGCTCAGAGAATGACATCAAAAGCCTTCTTAATTCACCTCTTGGGTCATTTGATTACAGGCATGGCACAGAGCCACACTGCCCCAAGAGACCCTGAGTCACGACAACATCCATGGCTATCCTCTTATTCCACAGAAGGAAGTAATGTGCTTTGAGCATAAACCAACCAGGAGTAGATTACATCCTTCCTCGTGTCAGCCCTGCTGGCTGTTGGGACAGGCGCTGGAGAGGCAAGAGCAGCCTCTCATTTCCCAGCCTTGCTCCTCCCCACCCCCACCTCAGGGAAGCTGTTCCTCCCCGTGCTGGGACGTGCCGTGGGGGCAAACCACAGCAGAGGGTTTTGCTCAGCCAGGCGAGGAAGAGGATGCTCTGGCTCTCTTCTCCAATGTGGTACAGAGTTACATTACATGGTGAAACATCCGTCTCTCCTCCAACAGGCCAGGCATATCTGATCATGAGGATGCTGTGTGTTCTCCATCCCTTGGCATTTGTCCTTGTAATTAGTCTATCTGTTTCTGATTTATTTATTTTCAGGCAGTCTTCTGCACCCTTGCTCCCTTGCTTGGGCGCATGGGGCAAACCACAGACTTGCCCTTAAACTACACAGAGAAATAAAATCAGAAACAGACTAACCACAAGTCTCAATAGGAAGGGGCCAAAAGCACATGATTGGATGCTGCAGTTCCCTTTGGAGATCCATCTGCCTCAAAATGTGATGTAACTAGGCTTGCGTACCACATCTGCAAAGGGGGTAACAGATCCCTCTTCATAACCTGACTCACAGGGTAAAACTCTGCTAGCTCAGAGAAGCCAAAGCATGTTTAAAAATCATTTATAAGGAAGAAAAAATAAGTCTGGTTTGTTTTTACAGAGTTCAAGCAATAGCTTTCAAGACTGACATGACTTCTGTTAGTGTTATTGTTGCTTCCTAGAATTTAGGCTTGAATTTGGCAGAAGCAGAGAAGCAAAGGCATACACAGAACCACTTGTGAGAATCAGTGTATCTGTGTGCATGGGCCAATTCTTTGCTGAATAAACACCAGTCACTGGGCTGCTGGGTAAAGTGGTGATATAAGATGGCAATCAGACATGTGTAGGCTTGTACCCATGAGGCAAGGCTATTTAAGGATGCAATTTACCTTTTTTCCTACAAATAAACGCAAGCAGATAATGAACCACACCTCCTAGTGCCATTAAAATACATGTATTATATTCCATAACTGCTCCTCATTTGTCTCTCAAAAGTAGCATCATTGCCTGGGAGGGAGTATCAAGACATTAATCAAAAATAGATGAGCAGTACAAGAAGAGAAGGCCAAGCAGATGATTATAAATAGCTTCCTGCATATCCAGAATACAGGAGCTGTCTGAAAACATTGTGATTAGCATTGATACACTCAGTCCAGCCACACAGACAGTGAGCACAGCTGTCATTCCTGTACTGAACATCTTATTTGATGCCCTGTGATTCTGCAGCCCTTCATCAGGTGAACAATGTGAAGTCGTTGTTCAGGTGATAGATCAGACAGTGGAGAAAGCCTTCAGACAGAAACCTCTACTTGTTTCTGGCTAGGAAAAATAAATCTTTCTTTCTTTTGGAATCCACAGAAAGACAGATGCAGAAGCAGGATGTGAATAAATGAGAGAAGATAAGGTATTGCTCTGGCAAGCAGAACATCCTGTCTTCGAGATGGGTGAGTACTTCCAAACTTTCCAAATGTTTCATTACCCTCCAGATAGATCATAGATCGGCCCCCTCTCCTTCCCGGGTACTTACCAGCGTTTTAAGCCATGATAGAAGCAAGCAGAAAGCAGTAGTCTTGAAAAAAGAGATGAGACAAATAAAGGAAAAAAATAGTCCTGAAGATGCCCTAAATTCCATAGTCAACCTCCCGGACACTGCCACAGAATTTTGCATATCTCCATGAAGACTTGGCTGATTCTGGTTGATCATTAGCAGAACTTGGTGCAGCTGTATAAACAGCAGATTTCTACACCTACAGGCTTTCATTCATTTCCTCCAGTGAGGTTTTTAATTTGACTGGCAGCTAGCCTATCTGGGCAACTGATAAGAGAAGAAAAAAATCACCCTCCAGTCTTTACATCTCCACTGCCTTTCCTCTGGTTCTCATCACAGAAGTGTACAAAGAATTAAAGAGCTCTCAATATATTTGTAGCCAAATATTTACCCTAAGTGAGGTAGATTATATTTGCTTACTGTATCCATTGCCATGCTGGCGTGTGTTCAAGACTGTCTAACTCCTTGGAGTACTATTGAATACTTTAAAAAAACCCTTTGTTTATAATAAACTGTTTGCCAATGAGTGCACATTCGGTGTTGTCCAGGGTATAATAGCTCTTGAGCTCACATGCCTGGTGTTTGGGATAGTGCTTTGTCTAGCTTCACAAACACAGCATCGGGCCGGTCCTGGGATGTGGCCAACTTACCTTAGTCTTTTGCAGGATTTTGAAATTCTCTCAGGCATTTCACTGGGAGAAAATGTAATTAAACAATGTTCAGAGGAAACATATTATTTCAGGAAATATAACTATGCCTTAGTCAGCTTGCTTTTTTTTAAAGCATACTTATTTTTAATGGAGAAATTAAAATAATATTTACATTCAGTAATATCTACAGTATTGTTTTCCATAATGTGAAAACATTTAAGTGGTTCCTTATTTCATTTAATTTTGGTTTGAGCTTTATAGCATTCATATATTTAACATTTTTCCTACTAAATTGAATATTTTAATGTCATCATAAATTTTGGGCTTTCTGGTGTGAATGATTTGACACTTATGGAACACTTCCATCATGCCAAATATATTTTCTCTGAATTTTCAGTCCATGAAAACTTCATCACCTTCACTTTTTTCCCAAGTTTTGGAATTTCCCATAGAATGGAAATTCTGTTTCCTGACCAGCTCTGCTAAACTTTCTTGTTCTATCAAAAAGAAAGGGGGGGAGGGTGTCACAAATACACAACTGTAAACTTGTGAGGATACATTTCTCATTGTTGGCTCATATGTTGCCCTCTTTTGGTAGCTTTTGTACTGTACTACACATAAAAATTTTAACAACTGCTGTAGCAACTCAGCATCCAAAGGCGACTGAGTGCTGAATGTTAGCAATTGTATGACAAGAGCAATAGGTTGCAAGTTAGGCACTTGAAATATCTTATAGAGACATCCTATGGGGAGAGGAAAAGCACTAGGGAATGAGTGAAGCAGTGCAATATAAAACTGGACTATAAAGGGCAATGAAAAAGAAGAAAAGGAGAAGGATCTGTAGATACTCATGTGAATAATTTAACCCCATACCCTGACTTCCATCCTGAGATGACAAACATGACTTTCAAGTATTTGTTCAATCAAGATTTGAAAAGGAAAGCTCTACCCTAATCATCATTCCCTTGGTCTTTCCCTGTTGCTTTTTTTCATAATTTATGCAGGGGTTTTATTAAATTCTTATGAGTATTGACTAGTCAAGCCCAGAAGACTGCCTGCTAACTTTCCAAGATTAAATCCTTGCCAAAGTCAACACTTTTATTTTCACTATTAAATTTCTGAAAGATAAAATTAAATATTACATGATGTTTTACATAGTGATTTGCTAATACTAATAATAAAATCATGTGATACTGCATTATAAGTCTAGAATCATTATTTATGTGAAACACTGAAGTGGTAATCTTTTTCCAGAAGATAGTTGTTTTCTATTATTTCTGAGCAAAATTAAAAAAAAAAAAAAAAGCCTCAGTGATTAAACAATAAATTAAAAAGATACATGATTAAAAGTTAAATGATTAAAAGAGTCTAAGGAGCTGGGTATTCACCTTCTCTTGACTTTCAAAAAGAATTGAGTACTAACTCCCCCGAAATGCCATTCTTAGAAAACAAACTGCTCTTTACTTCAGATAATTCTCAGTTGTAAGCACAATAAATGGTTACACAGAAGAGATATTCCCATCATATCTGTGATCCCAGTTCAGCATTTCACAGCCCTATTCTTTAAAGATTAATTTTCCTTGGTTTGAAAATCAGCATCAGGAATTCAGCCTCACAGGAATTCTTTTATGAACAGTCACAGAGACGATTGCAGAGCTCAGAAGGGATCCGTTCCTCCCACCTTGAATTGTGGAGCTTTTGTGGTGACTCCATATGATTAGGAATTCTTGGGATAGGGAAGAACTCCCAGTCTTCCAATGTAAAGACATAAAGCTGTGCTTTATAGGCATTCTCCGGTGCTTGATTCAAACTTATCCTAAACCCCCCAGCAACACTGAACTCCCCTTGAAAAACCATCTGACAGCCTTCCAATTTTCATCTTAAAGAAAATACACCCAAAAGCCCTGATTTTGCTGCTTTCTTCCCTTCCAGTTAAACAATGCTGGCTGGTTTAAGCCTTTGCAGACCTTTGTTCCATATGTAAGAATGTGGCAGCCCAGCCGTATGGAAATATAAGACTGCCTGCTGATTTCGATGCAGCCAACATGCATCTTTCAGTGGCCAAGGGCTCATAGACTTTTGTCACGTGTCCTCACAGGTCTAACTAAGCCCCTTCTGCTCTAGTCTAACAAAGTGCTTAAACATGTGCACCGTTTAAGCTGATACATAGTTCCTTTGTTAAAGCCACCTAGCAGGGCTATAAAGGGAGTTGTAAACCAGCAGTACAGCTCATGAACTTTAAGTTTATGCTTAATGAAATGCTGGGTTTGAGCCTCAGTCTTTCCCCTAAAGTGATTTTTCCAGCCTTTGAATCATTGTGGGATTTCTTCCAACTCCTTCCAGTCAGTCAGTGGCTAGCAATATTGAATACAGAGTTAAATGTATTAGCACAGAGCTTTACACATGAACTGTTAACTCCCTGATTCATGACACATGCCTGTATGTGCATAGCCTTTATCACTATACAAATTCATATCTCATTCCCATTTGATCTGCTGTGCACTATACCTTGAAACTCTACCAGCAATATTGATGGTCAGGACATGTACATTCAAATATATCTTCTTTTCTTTTCTTTCCCTACCCCCCCCCTTTTTTTTTTTTTTTTTATGAGTTGCTTGGGGGATATTGTACCTAGCTTTCTAATGTCTGCCGGCCCTTTGATATAATTTATCTGCTGTCTCCTGTTTGCATTCCATCCTGGTTTAGTATCATCAGCATATTTCACTATTGTGCTGTTTACCTCTGCTTTGAGATTACCATAGAGATATTAAATAGAACGATGTCTGTCAAAAGTCCCTGCCATGACCCACAAGACATTTCTACAAGCTACGATAACACAGCAATTGATCGTTGCCCTTTGTTTACATTCTTTCTCCCATTTCAGTCTACACAGCAGTGTTCTCCGCCAAAACAATTAAAGTTCTTTCTCTCAACATAAATACTTGAAACAGTAGCAAATTACATCTTCAGCGCTCCCTATACCCGCTCTCCTACATTCCCACCCAGTCTATCTCTCAGTTCACTTGCCGTGCACACTACCTTGCTTGCTGACTTGCACTACCTTGCATGCCAACTCGAAGCGTGCTGACTGTAGCATACAGCCCCAAATCTATAATATACAGAATGTGCAATGTATTAACATGAAAGGTATATTAAATAAGCTTTAGCTTTTCCAAACCCATACGACTCGCTGCTCCTGATACTATTTGTCTCAGTGCTTCTTTGGTACTAGTGGATGACTTAGCTGTATGAAATAAGAAAAACTTGACCTAAAATGTTGACAACATTTTCCTTGATTTATGAATTTTGTGGCCAGAATGGACCATTAACTCATCCTCTCTAACCTCTTCTGTGTCTCAGACTATAGCACTGACCCATTCCCCATATACTGAGACCAATAATTTCTGTTTAGCTGACACATATTCTCCAGAAAGAGATCCAGTTTTGTTATGTACACTATCACTTTCTTGGGCAGTTTGTTTCAGCAGTTCATCACACTTACTGCTACAGATCCAAGCCTCATTGCTTGCTTAAATTTGCTTGGCTTACATTTCCACCCACCGATTCTTGTAATATATTCATCTGATGCAAGACACTTTTTTTTTTCTTTTTGTGAAGGTAATTATACACTGTAATCTGGTCATCTCATTTTGATAAGGGAAACAAAGCATACTCTCCAACCTAAAAGCAGTTCTTGCGCCCTTTTTTTAGATTTCTAGCACCCACAGCACTGCAACACACCATTGCCATATAGTCAGCGTTGCACTCAACTCGTATGTCCCTGCTAATTTCATTCAAAGACGACGTTAATCCCCTTTTGCACCATCAGACTGAGTCCCGTGTCCGGTTGCTCCCCCACAATGATACCAAAGACTTTTCAAGCACCACGCTTGGGATACAATTTCTAGTGCATCAATACGGCCACTGTTAGTGCATGACTTAAAATATATCTCATCTGGAGAGCTCTTGCTCACTGAATTTCAGCTGCTCCCTCTTCCTAATTTATTTATCATTCCACCAACTTTAATTTCCTCCCTAATTTACTAAGCATTGTTTTACTAGGGATGTACTTGTCTCTCAGTCATTAAGGACAGTTCTGTAACCTGCCAGGAGTAACACCCATTTCTGCAGACTGATTCCAGAGCTTTCATTCAGAGCTGACAGCTACTTTTTGACATCTATCAGTTAGTCAGTTCTTAATCCACTCAGCAGTCACTTAATAGCTATTGTACAGCAGTCATTT